CAGGGAAATACCTTGGCATTCAGTTATGATTCAGGCATAATATTTATTAACTTTTAAGTTAAAAGGCCATAGAATGTTGAAATGAATGGCCAAACTAGTACGCACAAAAAAGAGTGAAACGACCACAAAGCAGCTTATTCATTAAATTCGTTGTAAGGCCGTAGCTAGCATCCGGTGAACAAGAGCATAGTCTAAGGTTAAATTATTGCTATTGCTCTATCTTTTAAATCGCTTGCATGTATTTTTTTTAACCTTTAAGAAAAAAAGTTTGATTTTTGATTAAGGTGCTTCGGTAACGTTATTTTGTCGGGTAAGTCCCACGTGGCTATCAGCTGCCAAGGTTCATCCTTAGGAGGAGCCGATGGCTTCCTGGGAGAAATTATATCTGATCTTATGTCCCAGCATAATTTACAACTGCTGGGTGATTGATTTGTGACCAGGCCTGCATATGAATTCGCCAAGGTTGTAAGCCAGTGAGCCCGTGCATTTTTGTTAAGCGGTCATATTTKAAAGTGTAAATAAAGAAAGGGAAAACCCGCATCTCGCCTTTAATTCAGACAAACAGTACAAGTCGTGTTAAATTTATTTACATAACTAAACAAAATGATTATAGAATTAAACCTTTAAGAATTGAATGCTCATATGAAGCATTTTCCACCTTAAATACGCGTGTTTTTCAGAAGGGAATTTAGTCGAACTTTTTTCACGATGGAATTTTGTTTTGAGTCGTTTCGACATAAACAGTCGCTATCAAGACATTACACGAAAAACCCCAGTCACCGTTCTAGCTCTAGTTGTAAGGTCAGAGCTAGTAAATGTGTAACTGGCCTGTTACATAACGTCAAATCGTCGAGCACGCTTGCGGCATATTGCCGAAAATGCGACAAAGAATGAACTACGACCGTTGTTTGTATCAAAAATAACAAACGCTTTAACTCTATTGGAATACGTGGACCTAAGCTGCTCTAGCTCTTCCAGTGATGTTGTAGATACCTCAAAGCTTAGAGGAAACAAGAGCTAAGAAAAATGATTTGCAATGGTTCCTCCTAAGATACATTGGAGTTGAACGTCGCTTGAACGACCTTCTGAAGTCTTCGTAAGTCGGTCATTGCTTCGCATGCAATGGAGAACCCGCGTAGAACACAGAACAATTATTTCTATCAGGGAGGGGAGTTATTTGTATTTTTCATTTTTAAGATAAAATTCTCTTTCTATAACGATAAATATTTGATTGACATTTAAAAGCTATTTTATAAAGATTTTCAATTTCTCTTTGCGTTTTAGCTTCGATTTTTCGGATAGAATAAAAGGACAGACAGCCTACTCCACTGGGTCGAGTTTTGCTGTGCAAATTCCTCCCGTCGGAGGGTTATGTTTACAACATAAGCTTGTCAGCTTTGCGCTGATTGGCTAGTAGCATTTTCTCAAATCACCCAGTGGTTGCCAGCGCAGAATTTCAAGATAAAAAGAACTCTCTATGCAAGGAATAATTTCTATGAATTTTTGCTAGGAAAAGAAAAATTTCCTAACTAGAAAAATATCAGCCGCTTTTGACCATAAAATGTTATATAAGCCTTTTTTGACCTTAAAAACGTTTGYCAAGAAGAAAATATTTTTAAGGGATGTGCGCCACATTTGCTTGTGAAATATCATTGATTGTCAACAATGWAGGGGGCTCAAAATCCCTTTCCCAGGAAAAAAAATCGTAAAAGAACAGTTATATCTATTTCTATTTTATGCCCTGTTAACATGAGATAAAGACCTTAAAGAGTGTATATTGACCATATGAAAAACGAGCAGAAGACTGGGAATGAGCACCTTAAACGGTCCATGTTTTTAAAAATCTGTTTTCACACTAAGAAAGAGCATATTTAAACCAGTGATTTGGCGCAATTTAATTTCAAATGGCAAAATATTGGCAGAGCTACGAGGACTTGAAGCGCACCAAAAACATGAAAACGAGGTTGGTAAGGCCTCGATACTGATTTTCACTCAAACCTTTGCAATTTCAAACACCTGTAATTTGCGGTCCATAAATGTTAGAGCATTGACACTTTCAGATCTTACGCATTATAATATGTTTTTTGAACGGGCAGCAATGATATATCAATCAACTTATAACCCAAGGCGTTACGATAGCCACGCCTTTTTTTCATATGGTCTATAAGCAGGTACAAGTGTGGGAATGTTKTCAATGTCATCCACGCAACACAAATTCAAGCTCGTTTTACACAGCCTAGAGAAATACCGATATTGACTGCACAATTCAACGGTCGTTAATAATCAAGAGACGGTAATCATGAGGCTCTCGACTAGCGATCACAACGGCATAAACCGTTGTAATAACGCCATAGCACAGTATGTAGAATTTTTAAAACCTCAAGAATGCGACACAGCATGGTCGGGGGTACACGTTCCCTTTTTCCACAGGGTGGGTTGGGTTTTCTTGTCCGGCTTGGCGCTAGCAACAAATATCTGTACATAGTTTATAGCACAAAACAAGAAAGACTATCTGGAACTGGCTGACCGACCTGCCCAAGCGTTAGYGTGTTGTCGTGTTGCATATGATTATAGTAAAGTCAAAATATAAAACAAAAGAGTTTGTCTATTCTGCAGCACCGTGTCTCATGTAAACATGCCTTAAAAATTATTGAACCTTTTTCTTCTTCTTAGTTTTTTTATTAAAGCAAAAAGATGAAAAATTCATCAGTTACAAAATTTACAGATCCTAAGAATGTGAAGAATACTCCAGTTTCGAATTCTCTTTTTTGCGAGCTTTACCTTACCTTAATCAAGCATGATTTTTTCTTAAGGCCGATTTAGACGGCACGACTTTTGGCTACAACCACCACCATCGCATGYAATCTGCGTGAGYCATCCTTACAACATGGCTWCAACTCTTGTAGGGATTTTAAACAATTGCTTAATAACCCTACGGCAGTTGTAGCCATGTTGTAGGGATGACTACAGTGTACGCAGGCTRCATGCGATGGTTGTAAGCAAAAGTTGTGTCGTCTAAATCGGTCTTTATTATGTTCTTTGTACACAGTGTGTTTGCATTACAATAGATTATCTGCTGAATAAAAGAATATGYTCACATGCTTTCGAGGTTAAGGCTGCACAARTAAGATCTCRAAGCTGTAGTATAAGTAGATCCACCTCTATATTTACAGTTTATTCAGCTCGCTTCCKGGGCTAATTTTCATTACTCTGTGGAAGTCATCATGGTGGCTTACGTGAATAGAGACTCTTGGTAGACAGTAAGACTATATCAATAGTAATAACATGCAATATATCAAAGTGTGCATGTCGTTCAATGAAATGAGATCTATTAAAACGTTTATTCGCCACAGATTTCAGCTGTCTCTCATCTTCTTGATAAGGTATTTACATTGCAAGGTTAATAAATTGACGGCTGGTCTCCCGGCATCTTTTAGAGATTCATAACAAGAGTATTATAGTGTGTATGTCATTCAATTTTATGAGATCCAGTAACTAATGTTCACCAACAATAGCGTTTAAATTATTTCTCAACTTCTTGATAAGGTATTTACATTCAAAGGTTCATAAATTGATGGTGGTCTTCCTGCATCGTTTAAAGGTTCATAAACACTTGAAGTATCTTGTCCCTGATTGACACTACTTTCACGTCCTCTATTTGGACGCATTACAACATGTACTGGAACTGAGCTTTCCAACAACTTTGGCGGGGTTGGCAGTCTTCTTCTGTTCATCATTTCTAAATCGAATTTTAGTTGGTCAGACCTAAAATGTGGATTTCCGCCATTATTGTGCTCATTGGGGTCTTCTAGTACATTATACATCTGTTCCTTGCATTCTTCAAGAGCGTTATATTCTTGTACTTTAGGATCTTCAAGCACATTGTACTCCTGTTCCTTGGAGCCTTCGAGTACATTGCAAGCTTTGTCCACTGGTCGCTCATACTCACTGTTTTGAACTTCGGTCCCTCGATCTTTATGTATTTTAGTGTTGTTATATCCTCGCGCTTCCTTGGGCATTATATAACCCTGCTCGTCAGTAACGGAACATCTACCGTTTATCCCAGAGGCTGTTTCTTCGTACGATTCGTCTGTTACTGTTTGATTGTATGCTGTGTCGGGATTTTCAAAAGCAAAACTATATAATTCTAGAACGAGAAGAATATATATGAGAAAAAATGTTTTCGATCTGAACATTTTAAATAATAGATTTATTCTCATTTTATGAGCGTGTGAATTGGGGATGGGGAGGGCGGGGGTACAACATCAGTTGCTAAACAGCCACATTTTAGTAATTTTATAAGTTATCGGTTAAATTTTCCGGTTTTAAGATAAGCGAAGCGTTAACTATTAATATGTTTATAATAATATAATGTATAACATTGGCAGCATTATAGGGCTATGGTTAGCCGAAAGTACCATTTCTGAGCTATAGAATTCAAAGAAATGCATAATTTTAAACAAAACCTTCACTCTATTATAATCCTTTATTGCTTTACGAATACTTTCATTTTAAACAGTGCATGATATCATTTATTGACAGCTCACAAGGTTACACTAGTACACCAGGACTATTACAAGAATATTCTCAATAGATGGAATATCGGTGTCGTGGACGGGTTGATTTTGATTTTTGTTTTTTGTTTTTTGTTTTTTTTCTTTACCTAATTAGATCACAGTGGAGTGATTAGTGGTGTTTTTTTTACAAATGGCTACGAATCAACCAATCAAAATCTTTCATGTTTATATAGAAAATTAGTAAATAATTTAAGGAAATAGTAACTCAATAACATAAATGGCGTTGATGRCGTTTTTGAAACCCAATTTAATAAGGCCACACTGGAGTAATAAAAAGTTGTTTTTCACGAATCATCCAATCAAAATCTTTCATCGATATATAGAAAATTAGTAAATAATAGAACGAAATAGTGTTTTCAATAAGTAAGGGGCGTTGTTGACGTTTTTGAAATCCAATTAGCAATCTAACTAGATTTTACCAGGATGCCAACCTGTACACAGAGCTGATTAGCTGGCTAAAAGAAACAGGTAATCACTAGGTAATCTTTTGAACCAATGACAAAGCACTCTTGTAGTGTACAAATCAGTCCACCGCAACGACAACTCACTACAGATCTCACTGAATAGCAGCGATTTCAAATCAGACGCAATTTCTTTTTCTATAGGATTTGGAAAATGCTTCGAAAAGCACAAGGCACATGGCATCTGAATAGATACGTTCAATACATGTATTCAGAGCAACCCTTTTTGCATCATACGGAAGNAGGGCCTCTGTATTAGCAGAGTATGTAGATTCGTGTGGCTTACGCTTGTTTGTGACGCGGAGTAGGTGGCATTTAGACACATTAAAGTCCATCTGCCAATCAGATGCCCATTTAGTTAGGTTGTGTAAGTCCTCCTGAAGTATTTGATGATCGTGCTGAGATTTAATGGCTCGATAAAGCACAGTGTCATCGGCAAAGAGCCGCAGTTCAGATTTCGGTACATCAACGATGTAATCACAGGTAATCACTAGGTAATCTTTGGAACCAATGACAAAGCACTCTTGTAGTGTACAAATCAGTCCACCGCAACGACAACTCACTACAGATCTCACTGAATAGCAGCGATTTCAAATCAGACGCAATTTCTTTTTCTATAGGATTTGGAAAATGCTTCGAAAAGCACAAGGCACATGGCATCTGAATAGATACGTTCAATACATGTATTCAGAGCAACCCTTTTTGCATCATACGGAMGAATGCGGTCCTAAAGATAACAGGAAAAACAACAATACTGGCCCTCATTCAAGAAAGAAAATGAAGGAAAAAGCCACGCAAGAGAAGAAAGAGGACATTAGGAAGTTAAAGGCCAAACCAAGATGGAGCGATATAGATCGAAAAATTACACCACAAAACGTCAAACATCAAATATTGTCACAAGCAGAACAGCAAAAAGCAAGCAGCTCGAATCATCTCATCCAGTTTTCGGGGGACGACTCGCGAAAAAGGAACATAATAAGCCAACTCCAAAAGCATAATCTCTCTGATGACGAGTTGAAGGCTATGATGATAGACATCGTCGAGCCGTTGGATGTAATGTCGATTTTATCACAACGAAGTAAACAGCAAGTGAGCTACAAGCGTCAAGTACTATATGCGGCAGAAAACGAAAGACAAATTCCTACAACGACTAGTTCGTGCCCTTTGGAGCATACTAAGGACGACTCAAGAGAAAGTCATCTGGCAAGGGAACTCCGAAAGCATTCTCTCACCAACAAAGAAATGAAGGACTTGATGATAGACATCGTCGAACCATTGGATATTGAGGCGATGATGTTTAAAAMAAAGGACACAATAGCACATTAGCAAATCCTGTACCTATAGGAAAGAGACCAAAAGTCAAAGGCGCTATCATGAAGGCATTAATTATACATTTTTAATTCTATTGAAAACTATAGCGAAAAAAGGTGTTTTTCTACGGAATGAAAAATTGATCAAAAATATTACCTTTGTATATTTTTCATTTGCCATTTGATCAATAAATTAGTTATCTTGATCATTTGTACTCAATCATTGTTAATATATGTGTATTTATTATCAATTTACATTTCTCCATCATTTCACCCTTTTAGAAAACTGAATATGTGAAAAAATAGATCAAAATGCACTCTTTCTTTAATTTCTATCGCATTATATAATCGATAATATTTACAGGGTTTTTTAATAATTAGCCGGTTCTTTCTTTCATTCTTTTCTTACTTTCTATATTATTATGTTTTCGTGTCCAGGGCTGTCACACCGTCCATCACGCACTGTTATTTTCAGGGAGTTGATAAAAAAAGGCACAGGATGACTCCTTTTTAACTCGGAGATTGCGGAAGCAATCGAAGAGTTATTGGAGGGAGACGATCTGTCACTCACTCACTTTCCTGTTAACTCTTAAAAATAGTCGCTGAAAAAAATCGCAGGCTCTCAAAATCCGCTGAAAAAAACCCGCAGGCTCTCAAAATGCCGCGCACCAAAAAATAACCTGGGAAATATAAGCTGGTCTAAGAGACAATTTTCGGGAAAATTTACTTGACTTACTTGGAGTACATCGTACTTAGTCATTTTGAAGAAAGTTAGAAAATCTGGATGGATAGSGAAACGAGTTTTGTTGCCGAATTTGCCGCCGAAGACTGACTGCGATCGTAGGTTTGTTGATGATACTACAGCAATACAATGTTTTAGCTGATCATGATAAGCTCTTTGGTACACTTTTCAATTTCATATTCTGTTAATTATTTTTCAAAATCACCCTACAATCTCCGAGTTGTGTTGCCATTGGCAGCTTGATTAGGAGTAACTTTTACTCCACTTATTCTACTTAGGTATCTTCAGGTGGAGTTAAAATTATCCATAGTGGAGTTAAAATTCTTTAAAGTTACTCCATTGGGAAGAGTAAATATAACTCCCTTGACAGAGTTATATCAACTCCCTGAAAATAACAGTGCGACATAAGTGTGTACTTCTCCTCCTTAATTTCTTGAGCACAAAAACTTGTTAATAGCTGGCCTTAAATCATGTTTTTGAAACTAATTTAAAATTTAGTTTTAGAGATAAATTGAAGGTTCAAAATGGTAGAGAACTCATGTAGTCTTGAAATGTATTTCCGGTAAAAGAATAGCACCACTGGTAAGGAAGTCRACCTGCAGATGTTTGGTTAATCATAGCCTGTGAGTTACAATATGAGTCATGTCCATTGACACAAATACACTAGTATACATTAATCATTGTTCCAATAGCTATCTTCGATATGTCAGATATGGGCCCTTAGCATTGAGAAYGAATGTCTTGAGCAAGTGGTCCAATTGGATCTCAAAAGACAATGTACTGTTGACGTCCAAAGGGTAAAACCACTGAATAATTTCTAAGCCATCTCTGCAAAGTGAGCCATCGCTACAAAGTGCTCTTTTTGAACTTAAAGTTCTCGGAATCTCTTTAATTATTCTTTGCCATCCAAACTTTGTCAATTACTTTCCCTTTCTGATATAATGATTTTGAAATAGAACTGTCTGGGATGTGGAATTTCCCTCTCATATCATTAATTATTCATGAGGTATCCAGACAATCCCTGATTGTGATTTATACCACGTACAGTAACTGGAAGCCAGAGGAACTGTTACTTCTACTTTGTTTCCAGTAACTTCTATCTTATTTCCACTTACTTTTACTTTTTTTCAAACTAATACTAGCTAATAATAGTCAAAGTATTCGAAATAATCAATTTAGTATAGAATTAATTTTTACTTGATAGATGACTGGTTCACGAATCGATCCCCAACTGTCAAAGCCTATATGCGCTGTCTTATACCTCGCAAGATCACATGCTTATAAATCTTTTGAATAAGGCCGATACGGAATGCCATGAATAGCAAACAAAGAAAAGTACAATTTGAATAGCTTTTGTTTCAGAAACCCGCTCGGGAGTTGTAAAACAACAAACGGTGCTTCGTGTATTCGAAATTATGAAAAACTGGGTGGGGATTCAATGAATGAATACTGGTTTCGGTTATATGTATTTCCTTTGCGTTTTTCCCCTCCCGAATAATTAATGAGTGTGAGAAGTCGTTAAAAGTCCTTCATTCGGACTGAAAGTGATTCCTCATATTCATTCCTCATTTTAAAGCTAACTT